CTGTTGCTTCACCGTTACGTTACCGTGCGGAGGAGGGGGAGGGGAGCGCTGACTCACCCGCCGCGTCACTGCTGGTGGGGGGGGATTCTCCTTTGCGCGACATGTCACACTGCTCCCTCCTTACGGCTGTTCGTCCCGAATAGCCTAGCGGTGCATCCCCGTTCCTTTTCCGCCCCGTAGCTGTGCTTGCGGTGTCTCCTGTTGTTTCGGTTACTCTTCTTGCAGCGACTATTCTTCGTCCGTTACAATATAATAATATTATATTAATAAATTGATCATGTTACGTATTTATATTAATTGTCTGATATCATGCGTTTTTGAGGGAATAACATTTTGGTGTACCGTGTTGAGTCATGGATACTTCATGGTGTGCCGCGAGTAGAAAAAGGTTGCGAAACACTGCGCTATAAAACATGTACTATTTGTCATATGCAAGTTGAACGTTCAAGTTAAGGAGGATGAGATGGGAAGGTAATGCAGCATGTTGGGAGGAGAAAATGGTTTTTGTGGGAGAGCTAGAATGAAAGAAACCACTAGGGAGACAAAGATGTAAGCGGGAGGATAATATTAAAATGAATATTAGGAAAGTACGATGTAGTGGTATGACTGTTTTCGTTTTTCTCGGGATGTGGAGAGTGATGGACTCCTGCGAAGACTGTAATGAACCTTTGGGTTTCATGAAAGTGAACATCGTTAAGTAACTGAGCAGCTGGCGGCTTCTCCAGAAGCATTCAACTCCATGGAGTTAGTTCAGGTACTTATAAATGACATTCTAGTGCACAACGTTGGGTTTCTTACCTGCAGGCACTACATGGAAGACGCAAGGCATTGCTTGGGAACCAAGTTCGTTTCTCCCCCAACAGAGCAGGGTCCCATAGTCCCTTTCCGACTCGGGCTTGTATCTGGCGACGCTGCGGCCGCCGCCGGGCTCTGACGTCACGCTGTCAACCTCTAGTGACTGAACTGCAGAGTTGTTGAACGACCAGCGGAAAAGACCCGCTGGTGGGTTAGCGTCTACGTCACAGACAACGCGCACTTCCTCCTGTCGTGCAGCGCCGTAAACACGCTGCTGTCCCGCACTGCACACCGGTTCGTCTGAAAGACAGATTAATTTAATAGCGCCAGGGGAAGGTTAATAATCACCCAGTAAAAGGTAAAATTGTCCTTGTGTTTAACTTATTAAGAATTAAGCCATGAAGATGTATGGGAGAGTGAATGTATTGATCCACGTTTTCTTGATCTCGGCACTAGTTGGAGGTGAATGGTCAGCGTCACGCCTTAAACTCTTTATCCCCAAGCAAAGAGCCCCTTGTACGAATTTAATAGGAGGCTGAGTGGGCCCCACAGCCGGTCTGGATGACGTGAAGAAAATATTTGACCTTATCGGGACTCGAACTCCGAACCCTCAGTCGTTCAATCCGTATCCAGTCGCTATACCGACTGCACTATCCTATCTAAACATGGACCCCTTACATAATCCGGTGGTTCATTTTATTTTGTTCAGCTGAAACAAATCCACATGAAATTCATTTAGGATCAATTTTAAAATTACATTCCCATCCGTGTCTAGGTCCCTGAAGGTGTTCCTTTTCCTTAATGATTTTTATTAAAATTTTGTACGAATTTCTAATTTCCCACAGCCCTGGTTCATTTATAGATTCCGACTTCCTCACCCACCTCGATTCCTTCACCCTAATAATATCCGAAAAGAATTACGAACTACTCACTGTGCAAAATTTTCAACTTCTTAGTATTTCCACATTATTAGACCTAGATCAAATGTTGAATTCACCACACTTTCCGAAACACTGTCACTGTTTGCAATTTCTTTAGGGTCAGAGCCCAAGGCTCTTTGGAACATAGGTTCCTAAATTAACAGTTTCTAGGCTAAGAAAGATACACGCCGATTAGAAAGAAGTCCTTCTGTTTTCCGCTTTGATTTGTGGCATTGTCAATTAAAATAAGCTTGTATTGATCTTTGATAAAATTAAGCTATTGATTTTAAGACTGTCAGAATATAAATATCGAATTTTCAAGAAAGTGTAAAAGGAAAATATCTTCCTGCTGTGACAACTGATTAACGAACCTTAGACCCTTTTAGCACTAAACTTACATGCTTATCAATAGAGGGCCCTGCGTAATTCGCCCAGGATTTATAAAGAACTTCCTCTGTGTTCATTTAATCGAATTTTACAGCGAAGTTTCACTTCATGTGGCGTATACAAATACTGTGGGAAATGAGATACTGCTGCGAGAGGAGTAAGATTTCAGCTCAACAGGTGTCGGGTGAGTAGCGGGAGAGATCAATAGCGACTGCGGCAGAACACAATTCCGACATGATTAACCGGCAGTAGGTAGAGTTGATGGACAGAATACAAGCTCCACTGACAGAATACAAAATGACATGGACCAAGTTACTTCATGTAAGCCACCTTTAACTTTACGTGCGTGGGAATTGAATGTTTACATGTTTGTTCTCTGACTCCTGTTGGTTCGGAATGCGCGCATGCGCCCCGGAATGTTGCACGTCGCACTTCGTGACGACACAGGATTCTGTTCCGACTTACCTGAACAATGCAGTATTATTCACACTATGAATATACATAACATCTATTACGAACAGGGAAGATGAAACATGCACATAGAAGGCGGCAAGGAAACCTTAAGAGAACACTGAAGGGATTTACGTGTAAACAGAGGATAATATTAAATTAGATTTTGAATGATTTAGATTTGAGGATGTGGAATGGATTGAAGAGTATAACAAGACATTCCGGGAAGAACTAATAGCATACTTTCACTTGACGCGACATGGAGAGCATAGGAAAATAAAAATTCTTCGTCTCTACCGAGTTGTTACCTAGCAGCCGTAAGGGGATATTCAGGCAGATCTACAGACATCCGCCTCCAACAATTCTTCTGTTGTTGAGTGTATTCGTTGCTGCGGGAACGTGTTTACGGAGCCGTTGCCTAGCGATGAAAGGAAGGATGCACTTTACCTAGCCTATGTTAGAAACAATTGGAGGGATACACATACAGACACACAGACTGATGGGACGGATATGTGAAGTGTGCTGTTGATATGGGCACAGGTACCATGATCTATATACCAGGTTTCATAAAGATTGGTTCAGACATTCGGAAGTTAATAGAGAGGGATACACAGACAGAAATGAAGATCGCACAAGCCTACTTTCAGTTTTCAAAAGAGGAAAGTAAGCTAAAAGCAGAGCAGAAAGGCGGGTTGCCACGAACTGGGTAATAGGATTTCGGGTTTCGTGAAGGACGGTAAATTTCTTTAATAACTAAGCGATTATCAGCCTCGTTATAAAGGTTCCTTTGTGGAGTTTTTTTTCAGAAATGAATGTACCTAATTCTTATTCACATGTTTCGCGTGCCTCTTGGTTTATTTAAAATCGGGGTTTCCACTTCATGAGTATAATGGAAAGGATACGAAAGGAAGGTTTCATGACCTGTTTTAAGGTACTGTTTCAAAGATTTGTTTATGAAACCAAGAATAACCTCAGGTACGACAACCGCTCTAGGCATAGCTCGGACAGAAAACACAGTTCCTCTCTTACTGTTTACGGGCCGCTGCCTAGTAACGACCGTTGTGTAGTTGTTTATTTAGAGGTCGTTGCCTAGAAACAGGTCTATATGCGACAGTATTTAATGTCATCTGAACATTATCCTCCTATCTTATTTCTAGTGTTCATATGGCAGATTTCTAACGGATTCACTCATTTAAAATGTTAAATGGATTTATTACGTCTCCATCCGAACAGTATATCCGGTCGTTGTTGTCACCTCCATTTCACAACACGAGGCGATGTAATTTGGAAACTCTATTTACTATATTAAAACATTCATTATTGGAGATACTGTTTCACAGAAAACCGTCAGAATACGTCAAACCATTCTATAGACATGCCTACACTTCTGTTGCGAGGTGTTTTCCAACAGCAAAACTTTGAACTCTGAAATATAAATTTTGTTATTAAATTTCTAAGAGCACAGAGCTGGAAGGATCCAACAAGTTATCAAAAGAAGAATCCTGTGTTTGTTGAAGGAGAGACGGCCCACACACATACTGTTTCCACTGACTCCGTCAGAAAAGAGACAGTCTCCCCCACACTTTCGGGTACCTGCAGTCCTATTCATATAGTCTCCAGTCCTTCTTTCACTCATTTAACCTTCCTTAAAAATTCAGTTCCAATTCTGACTTGTTCAAATCCATGCCCGAGAGCGAAACTGCAAGGTTATTACAACGGAGAGTATGAAATAATAATACCAGTTCAGTTCTATTCATTATTTATTTAATTGCTTAATTAACAGTCCAAATACTAATTACAAAGTAAGCACTAGCGGAAGAAGGAAACAGAACAAACAAAAAACAAAAGACGAAAACAGGGCAACCTGAATCAATGAAGAAATTCAGTAAGTAAAAATACGCCAAGAATTATTCAGTGGGAATAAAGTATGTAATTAAATTAAATTCTTATTTATTTACTTGCTGAAGTCAATTTGTGGCCAGAAATAGAGTCAGCGCGATACAAACAACAGCAGTAACATGACAAAACAAACAAGAAGAAAAAATTGTATCATTTGAAGTTATTTATATTTTTACGTCAGTTTAATTAATAATAATAATGATAATGAATAGTATTAAATTGTTCGAACTTCNTCCCAGAAGACTGCTTTCTTCATAGTCACCGCCGTGATAGCCTCAAATCTTCAAAATTTATATTTACACTTAGAGTTTAATATCTTATACGTAATTCCACTTATAGTTTTGATGAACTTATATATAAAATCTCCTAAAAATTGTATTTCCCCTTGTAATAATTAATACTGGAAGTAGTTTATTTCTCAATCACCTACCTTACGTAAGCGGATAAATACTTTTTAAATATTCCTTGAGTGATTGCTTCCTAATCTCTTCACATCTCTGAGAGATCGCAGCAGAAATTGGAAACACTATTTAAGACGCTTCCGAGTATCTGTCATGTTTAGTGAAGAGCCCAAAATTCTGCTTCAATAAAATGATGGTGACCTTCATGCACCTACTGTTCCGCAAAACTAGTCCTTCTGTAAAATATATTACTTTCGGTCACACAAACATAAATTACTTAATTTCCATTACATACGTTAAAATGATATTTGTATAACGATAGGACCTTATTTGGTAGTTGACATTTCTGCATTATGTTTCTCCGATATCTTGCATTTTTATAATAAACCAATTTTCAGTAATATTCTAATATGGCCCGCGCCATACCTCAAGCGGTTAGTCGCTGGCTTCCCAACGCGGCAGCTCGGGTTCGATCCCGGGTCTGGTCAAGTGGGATTTGTGGTGAACAAAGTGGCGCTGGAGCGGGTTTTCTCAGAGTACTTCGGTATCCCCTGCCATTCTTCATTCCACCAAATTCTCCATCATCATAATCACCAGGGGCAGGCTACAGTAGGCCAATCAGTGGCCGCCGTACCGAGTGGACCCAGTTGGACTCCATCCCCCACTAAGCGAAATATTCTGTTAATATTATTACCATGTCATAATCAGAGAGTAATGTGATTATTGTGATTATTTTTATTACAAATTTGGTTGCGATCCATGAGATTTTGGAAGATACGGAAATTATTTTATCAGATTGTAAAGAAATACGTATTTGTTTTGTTTCGTTGTCACAGCTATGAGTTACTTTCTGTAACACGATTTTTTAGTCTTTGCCTCCTTCTCAATTAAACTTAACTAAATTGAGATATTATATCAGATAATTACATACTTCGCTCGAGAAGCCTACAAAGTTCATGTAAACAGACGAGAGACAGGCGTTCGGGCGGCCTGAAAGTGTAGCCCACAACAAACCGAGTGTTCCGCAATGCCCATGTGTCTCGAAAAGTTAAAGTTGTCTCTCTGTTTAATTAATTAAGCATCAGGCCATGAAGATATGTGGGGAAGTGGAGACATAGTTCCACAATTCTTGATCTCGGAACTAGATGGAAAGACGTGATCAGCTTCATGGCCCAGCCGCTCTATCCCAGAGAAAAGAGTCCCCGGTACCCACTGGTTAGGAGCTGAGTGAGTCCCAGATATTTTAACATAATATTATTTCAGTGAAAAGCTGCATCGTCTGTATAGGGCGAAGAGTACTTGCCCGATCTGTAAGCGAACGTCTTTCCGCGTTTCTCTGATATTTCCTATATAAGTACGCCCCAGGGGCTCCCTCCGTTCCACTTGCAATTCATTAAACGACGCTGTTTGTAACTCGAAATATATGCCGCCGAATCGTTATATAATAGTGACGATAAACTTTAAAGAATGTAGAACAAAATTCAGTGCCATAGATATTATCCCGGAACTATTCCTTTTAATTTCGCGGGTCCACTTTGTACGTCGACCATTAATTTGCCTATTATACCAGCTCCGGATAATAGATGAGTATGAATCATTTCGTGGAGTGAGAATTAGCGGAGGAAACCGAAATACTCATACCACATTTCTTAATGCAAATCTCACATAACTTGACTTGGGATTGAACCCGGGTCGCCGTGGTGGGAAACCGGCGACTAATCACCTAATCTATGGAACCGACATCACGGTATTTACTTGGATGAATTGAGAAAAATCAAGAAACTCAGCCAGGATAGTCGCTTTCCCAACTGATATTCGAACCGACGGCCCCTCAAACACAAGTAAGACATTTCCGCAGAACACGGCACAAAGGTTACCCACAGCTCACGAAACGAGGCGAGGAGAGGCAAGTGACGTCACTTTACTTACATTTTACATCCAGGTTGAAAGGATTGCTCTCTGTGTCACCCTCTGAGTTACTGGCAAGGCAGGTGTACAGGCCTGAACTGTTTCTGCTGACAGACTGCAGTACAAGTGTCTGGTTGCTCAGGATAACACCGGTACTCGCGTTGTTATGCATTGGCTGGCCCTGCACACACATCAAAACACGTCCAAAAGCCAAATATCGACATGCAGTTATTATACCATTCCTCATTCAGGGTTCGAATTTTGGAGAAGGGTTGATTCTTCCTGGTTTCTTCTGACAAGTATTTTAGTGGTGCCTTCAAGCAGGAGTCAGGAGTCTTGCTGTCCCTTCCATCCCTTTCCAAACTCACCCATTCATAATCAACGTATTATTTGACGATATATAAGACAGGAAAACCAAGAAACAAATTCAGCAGCAAGGAATAATTTGAAGCTTAACTTCTTTCAAAGAACGACGCATCGAAGGCGTCAGCAGAATGCAAATGTAAACTTGCGCGCACTGTTCAGCACTAGGAGCAGGAGGTCAGTGGATGACTTCACGGTCAGATCGCAATGATAATAAGCGAGAAGTATCGTTAGCCATTGGATGCGGCCTCCGTAGTCTAGGGGTAACGTTCCCACCTCATGACTCAAGGTACGCGGGTTCAAACCCGGCGGAGGTCGTGGAATTTTTAAAGGCGGAAAATTTCAGGGTACAAGTCCTCGGGGAGGGACTTTAAGCCGTGGTCCCGTGTCGTGGCTTTACGGCACGTAAAAGAACCTCATGCCTCAAGGAGACCTCTGAGCCAAATGTGTAAGGACATTTCCCGCCCAACAATAGTCTCTAACGCCTCTGGTAGATGGAGGAAACATCTAGACACCGCTGAGCCAGTAGAGGCCGAAATCGCTGGCTGAGTCGGGACTGATGGCACGCACCAGTACCGGTATGGTATAGAGACTGGTAGAATATCACATGGGGACCTACAATAGACCACTGGTCGCGGTGCATGGGGAAACCCACCCCCTCCAATAATAATAATAATAATAATAATAAAATAATAATAGCCATTGCATAGAAATCTAGATAGATGCAACTGAGGGCTCAGAAACAAAAACAAGAAGACACTGAAACACTTCCATTTGGTTTCGAACCTCGTCTGTTGTGTTCATGATTTCCCATCAATACTGACTTATTCTTTCTGCGTTTACTATTACTTTAACTTTATTGGATTAGTAAATATTTACCAGTTCCGTTTTGTATGATTTGAAGTTATCACAATGGTAGTTAAGAAGAGCTCTATTTTCTGGAATATATCGTCAAGTGGCCCGTTAAAAGTCAACCAACGTTTCGGAGAAAAATATAGCCTCCATCTTCAGAATCGAATGAAAAGCAAAACAAGAAACGAGCATGAAGTAGAACCAAGTTCCATTTTGCTACAAATCTGAATTCAGTCTTACACGATGTACCATCGGACAGCTTATATAAATTCTGATAATTTTATGTTTCCCTGTGCTTTAAAGTAAGAAAAGGAAATGCTTGTCATTGAGGTCTAATGGAACAAATGTTCGGTATTTTGCAAGACAGAATTGAAACAGTTGCTATTTTATTAAGCTGTTTAAGTGATCAAACGGGATTAAAATAAGTATTAAAATAAGTACACTGAGCTGTATGATATGCAGGATTTTAATCCAAATTAGATTACACTCTGAAATAGCTCACATTTAAAGACAAGGCTTTCCAGGAAGAACTCGTTACAGGCGACTCTGATACTGTACAGACTTACAGCACGTCAAGTCTAGTATTAGTAATGTCATATGAAAATTTACAGTCGATCAAAGCCATGCCATTTAGTCTTTCGTTCTGCGTGCAGCATTTGTTATTCCTACATCAGTTAGAAATATTACTTTCTTGCAATTATATATCTAACAATTATATTACTTCCTTTTTCCTTACAAAACATACTAAGTACAAATTTTATTAGCGTTAAATCTGTCAGACATAACTACAAATGTTCATACAGTTACCGTATTTATCAAAAAGACGGAAGGGTTGGACTTCATGTCCCTGTGAGGCAAGAATTTTCACTTCTTCACGTCGTCCAGGGTGGTTCTGGGGTCCACCCTGCCTCCTATACAATGGTACCGAGGGCTCTTTCCTGGAGAGTAAGGCCGCCAAGACATGAAGCTGGCCACTTGCCTCCAGCTAGTGCCGAGGACAAGAAAATATGGATCTATACATCCACTCTTCAATCGCCTTCATGGCGTAGTGCTTAATTGGTTAAGCACAAGGACAACTTTTTCTTTCCTTGGCACTACAGCCCCAGTGGGCCTAGGACTACCTCCATGAACTTCTCCGTTCACTTCGGTCTTTCTAGATCTTACACATACGGTAGGACTCCTTGGGCGGGTGATCAGCTCGTCGCAAGGCCTCTACCTGTACACAAACACAGAAAAACGCAAACACACACAAACTAAACATCCATGTCCTGAGTGGGATTCGAACTCACGATCCCGGTTTCCAAGCGAGCGAATACAGCGCATGCCTTAGAACGCTCGGCTAACGTGACCGGCCAGGGACAACTTTACCTATACCGTATTTATAACTGTTGCTTTCTCAGTAATATTTCACACACAATTATTAGACAGAGGCCTGTAACTATGATCTATTTCTGAGCCAATTTTATATGCTCAAATCCAATTTTTCAGTAGTTACCGCCAACAGTTCGAAATCTCAATCTGTGTCATGTTGCTTTGTTTACATTGCACAAAGAAATTGCCTCAATGAGAGTTCCATATTCATGTAATATTTGTTACAATACGTCATTTAAGTATTCTGTACTAAGCAGTCGTACAAACTGGTGCGCCCGCCATTATGGTACTGCCGATTGTAGGAAATTAAAAGTTACGATGTTCGGGCGGTCTCCAACGTTCGTAACAAAATTCCGTGAATATCGGTACCAGTTCAAAAGTTGAAAGTGAGAGAGAAGATTCAGAGAAAGACATGGCATGATGTTCCTCAGGGAAAGGAAGTAGGATGAAAATAACGTGGGAGATATCTGTAAGATTATATTTCTCTGATTTAGTTATAATATTTGCAGAAAGTAGACATTTTCCAAAAATCCTAGTATACGAATTTATAATGCATCATTTTTATACACTAAACAGAAGAAATGTGAACATTTGAAATTCATGCTCCAACAATGCAAAAACAGAGCATTTTCAAATAGGATAATGAATGTTGCAAAATGTAAGTTTCCAAAAGTAACGAAATCAAATTAATGAAAAAGAGAGAGATTTTATTCCTGATAGTGACATAAGATTATAACACAGTTAATGTTTGGAAAATAATACTTCGGGTCTTTAAGACATTTTCAAAGTACTTTGCAGAAATTAATTCCGAATATATACCGCCTAGCGAAATGATCATCGGAATTCTAAACGTTTCCCAATCCATAAGAGAGCTTCATCAGGTTTTCAGGAGAATTTCTAAAATTAGTGAAGAAGAAAATTAAAACCGCCCTGTCTTAAAGGAGAGCTGCAGAAAATGTACGTGAAATATTCTCTTATGATTTACAGAACAATTTATTTCTGTGGGAAAGCCAGAAGCATAGAGAATATTAGGAAGATCTAGACGTAGATGGAAGAATAATATTGAAACGGATCATTGACAAATAGGATGGTGTGGAATGGATTTGATTCGTCTGGCTCAGGATAGGGCCCAGTAGCGGGCTCGTGTAAGCATAGCAATGGACATTAAGGTTCCACCAAATGTTGGGAAATTCCTGAACAGCTGAGCGACTAGTGAAGTATCAAGAAGAACTTGGCTGCATGGAGTTAGAATATCGCTATGTACGTTTTGAAAGTGGTTTTGATGGCTGTGAAACGTGACTTATTTCACTCAGAGCGTACACCACTAAAGGTGCAATTGAACTCTGTGGTTAATTAATTCAGATCACAGTAGCCGCTGAGTCTAAGGCATGAACCGTCTTTGTCCGCTCGAACACTGGGATCTTGGGTTCGATTCACACTCCATTCATTTATGTCTGTGTGCGTTTATTCTGTTTGTGTTGTTCAGTGTGTAGGTAGTGGCCTTACAACGGGCTGATCCCCTGTCCAAGGAATCCTACCGACTGTGTATAGAATTAAGAAACTGAAAAAAAAACGGCCGACGTTCAAAGGGCTGTAAAGCTATAGAGAGCAAAGTGTTAATTAACTAACCAGAACGACAGGAATATGTATGAGGAAGTGGAGGTATGGGTCCATCATTCATTTTGCCACTACATAGAAGTGAGTAGTTAGTTTCAGGCCCCAGCTGCCTTATCACTGGAGAAATATGAATTGATAATTTACTATCTATCTATATATATTTGTATGATAATAAATTGTCCAGTAAAATATTTAAGCTTCATGTGTATTTGAATTTAATATATTATATGAGGAGGAATACTACAAAATGCGCGGTTCAACTTGTATTGTGAGGTCGGTGAAATCTAGCGGTGAACTCAGCCTCCGCAATTGGAAAGCAAAACGTGTAGCGTCTCACCTGGAACAGGATTGCACGCTCTCTTCAATTTGAATTTCAGTAATTTCTCCAGAGAGTAAGAGAGGCGACTGTCTGATTACCTGAACTGCAAGTTCAGAAGGTCAGTAAGGAGGGGATGACAGCGTTGAACTGTTACAGGATTCAAAGGCAACAAGGAAAGTCTGTTCTGATCCTGAATATGCATTGGGTGCATTTCATGTTTGGCTTCAGTAAGTGTGCTGCACGTGTAATTATTTAGTTTCAGCTGAAATATTAGCTTTTGATATTCATAAATATGACATTTTTAACTCCTTCAATTTTCCACCAGACACACAACAATGCTTGTGAATAGGCATGTATATATTACGAACAGAAACACACAAGTTATCCGAAAAGATAGAAGATGATAAATGAGACTTTATAATCCTATCTGTGTTCAGCAATAATCCAGTTTAAATTCAGGCTGGATTATCTTGATGTATATATTCTTGAACTCCTTCAGTTAACTATTTATTTGAAACTACGAGTATAGAAAAATGTAAGAGCTTCAGAAGAAAGGCTGCAGTTCTGTAACCTAAAATCAATTTACTATCCGACCGATCTAACTATATAAAAACGGGTCTTCATCAGTATTTGATGGTTACACAGATTGCCAAGAGATT